CTGTAGTCGAACGGTGAGACGGACGTGTAGTTCAGTTTTGGGCACGCGTACGGTGCTGCAGGGATTATATATAGGTGTAGTAGTACCTCTTCGGGCTCTTGTACACCTTTTTCTTGCTACGTGTGCGTGTTCTTTAGATCCTCAGATGGCTCCAGCACTTTCGTGACCACGGGCCGAGAGTCTTTGCATTTAGCAACTGGCATACGGTTTAATGTGAAGTCAACAATGGGAGTGCGCACACACAACTAACTGCTGTGTATCATTTTCGCAAGTTTCCATGCACACCATGTACACCACTCTCTCAACTTATGTTTGTGCACCTTCACGAGAAAACTGGACCTGTCTGCGCTCAGCTCAAAGCCTAGACAGGCTTCCGAGGCTCGTGAAGGTCAGCAGCGCGTGTTCTGACATGCAGAGTAAATAGCAGAGTAAGTGTGAATGCCACCTCAGACTGTCGTAGATTGTGACGTCAGATGACCTGTCGGAGATCTACCTTCGGGGTGTTGCCACAGAGAGAGTCAGTGCAGGTTGGACGCTGAACCTTGCTTTAACACAAGGTTGATCCCCACCTGGCACACACACCCATCCATTTCCGTGTGAGATCACGACTTCCACCACGCACGCTCACTAGCGTGGTGGAAGGTAGTAGCAGCAACAGCGGTATACTGATGGACTGGCGTAGAATCGCTTTGCACTGGAGCCTCCAGTCGCATCGGCAATGAGTGGTGTCATGAACCAAGATTTGGTACCACCATCACCCGTACCTGGACCTCCGCCACGATGCCCAACGGAAGTACGGTATTCATGTCCCCTCTGCATCAGCGAAGAATCAACGAACCCGACGGCGAGGAATCTGGCTACACACCAAAAACGTGAGCATAAAGGTCGAGGAAAGGAGCTACTACTCAATTTGTCTCCTCCTGGATCCTTGCGCTCGAGCAGCCTAGCACCTGGTTACTTACGACGCATGTGGCACACGCGGCGACCTTTTCTCTCCACGCACCAAGCATTGTTGTGAATCAGGTACTACATCGTCTCCATCTTTCTCTGGGTCGTTGCAGCCATCGCAAGAGGATGATAATGACTGGCGGCAACTCCTAATACCGTGGGACCTCAACGATGTCAGCAGTGTCCTGGATCAGGTTCGAGAAGACTACTCTTGAAACGTCAATTTTTCGACAGTCAAACACGTAGATCCGCAACTGGCGAAAGTATTTTGCAAACTCTTTCAACATGTCGTCATCCTCTTCGTGCAAGCATTTGGAGCTGTACACATGGATCAGCAGAAGTCAGATACCTCAGATCTGTCTCCTCTTGCAGCGGAAAGATATGAAGCAACACGTGTTGAAAGACAACTCCAACTTGTCCGAGCAACAAGGTTGCTCCATCTTACCCCAGCATTGCATGGATCGACTCATGGAAGGATGAACAGTGTATCCCGATCCAACCGCTTTGCAAATGGTGATCTGAGTGAACCTATCGCCTGGCTGATGGTGTACGAGAAGAATCGTCGACTTCAGTATTATGCAGACACTGAAGACAATCGCCAAAGAAGAGCCACAAGACTTACGCATGAAAGAGGAGGCATCACGAAAGTTGCCATTGCCTTAATCTCCCCAGCACCCTCACCGCTCAACAACGACACGCTGGATCATCTTCGCAACCTACACCCTAACGAAGATCCTGACGATATTGCTACTGCGTGGGTCCAGCATCAAAGCTGCGGGAGATCGTATAAAAACGCACAAGATAGACTCCGTCGCCGAAGCTGATGAACCATTCGAAATCAAGTTCATGAAGCAGACGGTAAACAAAGCGAACCCTCAGCGTGCTCCGGGGCCTGATGGTCTTCGTTTTTCGTATCTCCAAGCTGGTGGGATGAGTGATTTTTTTTGCTGAAACCTTGGCGGCCTTCAGCTTTAAAGTCGTCTACAACGGAGACGAGCTTCCGGATTTATTTTGGAACCTCCACACCAGTGCCAACCTTTCAGCGCTGGGAGAGAAAAAACGGCCGATTGCAGTTGGAGGGGTTTTGCGTCGCATCATCAGCGGCAGCTTCTGCCGCCAGTACAAGGGAGGAATTGCGAACATCTTCGAAGCAGCAAATCAGTTCGGAGGTGGTGTTCCAGGAGGAGTTGAGATAGTGGCCTCCACAGCAGCCCTCAGCCACCAGCAAGGCAGCACCATTCTCTCCTTTGATGGGAAAAATGCTTACAACAGCATGCGCAGATCTTCCATCTTGCCAGCAGTGGCCACTCATACGCCACACTTGGTGAAGTACTTCGGGAACATCTACGCTCGAACCAAGGCGAAACTTCTGTTCAAAATGGAAGATGGTTCGATCGAGGTTGTTCTTTCACANAGCGGCAGCTTCTGCCGCCAGTACAAGGGAGGAATTGCGAACATCTTCGAAGCAGCAAATCAGTTCGGAGGTGGTGTTCCAGGAGGAGTTGAAATAGTGGCTTCCACAGCAGCCCTCA